ACATAAATCATACTACTTTTTTGACATTCACAAAAACACTCTCACGCTTCATGCTCTTTTCCTCATCACACTTTCACATAAACTAAAAACTCACTATCCACCATATTCTATCATCACTCTTTCATATACAATATCTTCCATGATATGAATAACTCACCTTCATTTTCCCAATAATAAACCACCACCTACATTTTCTTTTTCTTCATGGTACATCTAACCTCACATAAAATATCATCCTCCATCTAGACACAATACTCTCTCATCTAATCCTTATCAGGTTTTTTTCTTCTTTTACTTGATTTATTTATTTAGTTTATTTTAATTTGTATATCATTTGGAAAGACAAAAATGTTATCTAATAAATAGTTGAACAAATATCTGAGTAATACTACACATAATATACAAATAGTACATGATAATAATAATAATGTCTAAATAGGCCCTCCACAGGCTATATGTTCTGCCTTGCGCTACCAAACTATAAATCTCGTCGTATGGTTTCACAAAACCCATGAGGTTATCTATAACGATTGCTATCATCTGCAGCCGTTGAGCATCATCTGTACCATGTGGAGGCAGTGAAGGTGGCATCATGTCATCAGAAGGTACCCTAGTATCAACATGAGAAAAATTAGCATGTGAAAATCCAACACGAGAAGGTCTAACATCATCTCCATGTTGGCCAGGAGGAATGAAGGAGGGTGTGATACCATACGGTACCACTTCAAATACCTATCCACACACTTCGCAGATAATTGAACCGCCACTGCACAATATCTAATGGCACATGTAAAACTCATAATGTTACCACGAAATCAACTATTAATACCCTTAGATGGAATAGTAGGGACTGATTGTGGGATGTTCTGGGCGTATCCATACTGGCGCAAACACCTCTCAGGCAAGTGTCTAGACTTTAACCCCTCCGATCGTAGATAACCATAAAAGTTAGTGCCATTAAACTCCACATCTCATCTATCGACTATATGGTCTGTGTGGGGTGTCCATATGACATCGTCTACAGCCAGTGCATCAATCCTTTTCATATACTCCATAACACCTCCTGGGTGTGCATGCCTACCCTTTTATCTCTTGGCCTATAGGGACCCAACAGTGTTAGCAATAACCCGTCTGCCACAAATGAACAGAAAACGCTCGTATATCTAACACTGCATAATAACAAAGAATCATATAACAAGAAATAATGTCATAAACAGAACTACCATAATAAGAATTAATAATTTAGTTATATCTGAAATAGACTCATATAACCGGCAAGCTGTTTGGTCTAAAAAACAATGGCCTCTCCGAAGGCAGAGTATAGAACAATAAATACAACACACCCCCATGCCCATGTGCAATGCTCAAGACTGTTAAACAACCTCATTTACTTAGCATCAATATATACGTGAGACTTATTTACTAATATAGTACATCCTATAAGGTGTAACGTGTATACCCTGGCAGCTTGCCTTCCACATACCCTACCATACTAGCTTTTTATATCTATCATGAAGCGAAGATAGGAGAAAGTGAGCACCCCTCATATACTTAAAGTTAATTATCACCTACGGCTCAGTAACCCATAAGTATTGTACCGTTGTCACACGTGCGGACTCTTAACTAATAATAGGAGAGATGAAGAAACTATCTGCCAGCAGAATATGGAAAAGCGAGGAGATATATCCGATGTAATCATCAACTCACCAAATGAAATATGGAAGGAAGATGTCTCTTTATGCCATTGCTTAACAAAGGCTGCTAATAATGGTAAGCGAAGAGTTCACTGATGGAAAGAGGCCGCAATCCTCAACTATCTCCTTCACCTGCGGTAACATCTCTACATTAGAAAACTTCTTCAACTTCAAACCATGGGTGGGCACCTTAAGTGGAATACAGTTCTGTAACAAACAAAGTAAAAAGCATAAGTTAATTTCAAATTATAATTAATAAATAAAGCCATGTCATTGACATATAATATACATATCTCTCCCTACCATAATCTGAATGCCACATGATCCGCATTTCCTATGAGAATAGAACAGTCACTGGGATCACCAAGAAACCCTCCATCAGTGCATATAGACGGGTCTGTTGAAGCAAGAAATGTCTCATGAGTAGTAACGACATCTGTCTCCGGAGTAACCTCTATAGTAGTTGATGCCTCTGCCTCAAAAGGATAAGGCACCTCTATCATCTCAGAAGAATGAGGCACCTCTATCTCTACCGGATGGGGCACATTTGTCTATGCCACCATCTGCACGTCATCCATAACCAGTGTTTGAAGAATAACTAACGCATCCTCTTCATCTCTCATCCATCTAGAACCAAATCTAGATCATCTACGTCGAAATTGAGCATGAACGACCGACCATCTCCTGTGAGAACCAGTCAGTGTCATTCTCCCTACTCGAAACTGTGAGCCCTCTACGTCACCTCCCCTCTCTCGAGCCCTCGCAACAACACCTCTATCATGCTATGGTCTTCACTGAAAAAATAAAACAATTTTTTTAGACTATCTGACATTTCAAAAAATTCTAAAATTTTGAACTTTCCAGATTTTTACAAAAATGTGGTAACGATCATAAATTTTTCTTCATTTTTCAAAAGATGCGGTAAAAATGCACTCTTTATTCAAGATTTTTGAAATGTCCGGTTGAACGTATGCATTTTTTCCATATTTTTTGAAAAATGCTGAAAAATTTATTTATTTTTACTACATATTTCGAAAAATCTAGAAAAATGTATGCTTTTACCGATTTTTTAAAAAAGTGCAGAAAAATGCATACTTTTTTCCATTTTTTTTTTGAAATATGTAGTAAAAATACATGAAAAATAAATAAAAAAGAAGAAGATAAAATACGATAAAAATTAAAACTTGTCACCAACACCAAATATTCAATAGGCTCTTTGAAATATCCTGAAGATTACAAAGTTTTTTAAAAATTTGAAAATCTCCAACACTTTTTAGCGGAATGAAATATAATATTGTATAGGACTAATATGAGAAAAATATAGGAGGTATGGGGATACCAAGTAAAATTTAGGGGATGGTAGAAAGAAACCTTAAATTTTTACTTTTGGGACCAGAATCACTAGTACTTTGGATCGCCCCGCGAAGCTCTGTACTCCATTACCTCAACGACAATAAAATTTAACCCCATACCCATACACTTATCCCCATACTACTACATTTTATGAAAAATACCAACTTTGCCCTCATATATTTTTAACTAATTTGCCATTTTTTATTATTTATTTAAGATTTACGAAAAATTGCACCCACTTATAAATTTTTAACTAATTTACGATTTTTTTATTATTTATTTAAGATTTACGAAAAACTGCACCCTTACATATGTGTACCGGATAACATTCAAAAATGAGTTCCGGTGTGTGTTTTTTGAAGTTGGAAAAAAATTTCCGACATTGGTTTAAATTTTTGATGTATTGAAATACATCAAAAAAAATTTTCAATATGAATTTTGTTGTGTTCCAGAACACTTTGTGTAAGATTTTAGTTGTTCAGTTTTTGTTACTCAGTTTTTCGATATGAATTTTTCGATTCGAAGACTTCAAAGAAAGAGTTTTGATACTCAACTTTTAAATATTTTTTAACATTTATTTTATGTACCATAAGACTTTGTAAAACCGTTCTGATAGTAAGTTTTTTTTAACTTTTATTTCATGTTTGAAATACTTTGAAAAAAAAAAGAGATTTTGATAATCAATTTTTAGAACATTTTTTACTTTTATTTGAGCGCTAAAAGACTTTGCAAAAGAGTTATAGATTAAGTTTTTAAATATTATTTAACTTTTAATCTGTTACCCAAAAGACTTTGAAAAAAAGTTCTAGTAGTTAACTTTTAAATATTTTTTAATTTTTATTTTGTGTATAAGAAGACTTTGCAAAAACATTTCAATAGTAAGTTTTTAAAAATAATTTTTAACATTTATTTTATATATAAGAAGACTTTGCAAAAAGTTATGATAATTAATTTTTTAACTTTTTATTTTGTGTATCAAATTTTTTTTAAAATAATTTCAATAATTTAGTTTTTAAATACTTTTTAATTTTTATTTTATATACCGAAACTTTATAAAAAGTTCTAAAATAGAAAATAATTTTACTGGATCAAAACATTTGAAACATGAGAGTGAGAAAAAGGAAAAAAATTCTTATTAATAAACTAAAGTATTTTTTCCGTCTCATAAAAAATATTTTATTTTTACTTTTTTATAAAAAATAATTGTCAATTTATATTATTAATTACAATATTTATTATTATTATTATTCTACTACTATATTTCAATTCGTTAATTTTTATTTTATTCAACTATTCTATTAACTACATTTAATAAAATATTAATAAATGGTACAATAATATTTTTTTCATTAAAAACAATATATTTTTAAAGAATTGTGTATTGCCCAAATATAATCTTATTGGAGATGGGTGGGTTTACGTTATATGGGTAAACTTTTCCAACAACCAAGCTCCCACCGCATACACTCCCCAATCACCTTCCTCCGTCGCCATTCAACAAAAGCATATCGCCACGTGTCACCACATAATTGGGCATTCCATTATAATACCGTGTGCGTCATCCCTAGAAAAACACTTCCATCCTATATCTACAAACGCCTCACATGTTGACCACAATCCACGTGACTTTGACCCATTTATTTGATCCGTTCTAACCGCTTCTTCTTTCTCTCCTTTTTCATTTCTCACAATTCTCTCTCTCACCTTACCCTTATTATCACCCATTTCTTCATTTTCCCTTTCTCTCTAAAGCAAACCCTAAAAACCAAAATGTGTTCGTTGTTGGGATCGTAATCGAGTGCGGGCGATAACTGTTTCGTGATTCGCGCGCCTCTTTATCATTTCGATTTCAATTCCAATGGCGAAAGAAAGTGCTACATTGTTCGGTTTCGCGATTGTGCGAGATTGATTGTTTTTTTTTCTGATTCGGAAGGGTTTTTGTTTGTTGCTATCATGTGTGATTTGGTTGCTCGTACGGGTCGGCATCAGCAACGGTATGAGGACGGTTTTCGTCTTGTTGCTGGGTAATGTGATTTTCCCCTTCATTGCAATTTTTTTTATTAATTTATTTTTTGTTTTTTAGTTTATGTAGTGAATTTATTTATCAATATTAATTAATAATCTTTGTGTAAAGGGGGAAATGTCATTTTCTGGAGGAAAGCTTTTTTTTTGTTTGGTTTTGGTGTTTGAGAAATTACGATTTGGTCTCGTTGATGGCGATGTTTTGGTATTATTTTATTTTTGGTTGAGGTAGATGGTTTCATGATGTTGATGCCTGTCTCTGTTATAGCTTTTTAGGGCGCACTTACGAATGTCAATTTATCTGTTGAAGGAGCTGGTTTTTACCATTTATTTTAATAATATGTGGCTATTTACATTAAAATTAAGGAAAATTAAATTTTGATTATTTGATAATAATGTGTAATATTTGATATTTGTTCACGCGTTCTCATGTGTTAGGCACTTTTGTGATGTACATGTTTATATATGAAATTATTTTGATAATAATATATGTATGTGCTATTTATGGTCAACGTCCTATAGATTTTTTTACAAGATAGGATTACGTGGTCATCTATGAAGCACTACTGTGTTATTTCTAAAGAATTGTTATTGAAGAGAGAACTAGAGAAGTCTTCCATATTTGATGATTGGTGTTATTTAATTGTAATCTTTTTTTCTTTTCTTCTATTGAACGTATCAATCAATTTGTGATAGGAGATGCGTTTGGCTTTCTGTGCACGTTGTGTATACTAAGAGATTTTGTTGATTATGTTATCCTGACTTTTGTAATATATTCTCATTTTTTAGTTTTCGAAATATATTCATTTTTAAGTTTTCTAGGAATAACACGAGAATAAAGTAAGTGTAGTAGGGATGATTATGTTTCGTTAGATGTGTGGAAGACAAGACAAAATAAGATTATAAATGACAATATTAGAGAGTATTGGGGTAACACCTATAATAGAAAAAGACGGTGGAAAATAGACATATGGTTTAGGCATATAGAGAGAAGACATAGAAGAATATATTAGTTGGAGAGAAGTCAAACAACTAGAGGTAGATGAAGACCTAGGAAAACTATAAAAGAAGTTATTAAGAATGATCTCGAGATTAATGATTTGAATAGAAGCATCGTCCAAGATAGAACATTATGGCGAAAGTCGATCCATGTAGCTGAACCCACTTAGTGGGATTAGACTTGGTTGTTGTTGTTGCCTTTGTTGTAGGAACACACTACTTTGGTGCCTTAGAGTTGTAATTTATGACTTAACTTTGCTTATGCATTATGACAACACTTGGAAAGTTCAGTTGAATGTTGTGATCTTAAAGATTACATGTAATATTTTTCATTCTCAACGGTCCTTCCAAATAATTTTTTTTTGGCATAATTAAATGTAATTTTATTTTGGTTTACTAATTAAATGTAATTTTAACTTTCTGGTTTTTGAGCAATTTTGACGGCTTTAAGTTCATCTCTTGTTTGTTGCCTTGCTGATTATAATTCGGATAAGCCAACTGTTTAGTATTTGACTTCAAAAAGTTGTATGCAGATAATAAATAGTAAATGAATGGAAATTGTATATTTTTATGAATTATGAATTTGATTGATTTGCAAAGTGACTCTAACTAACTGCAAATGGAATTTCATTAGCCTTCCAATTAATCAGCTTTTATTATGATAGCAAATATTTTCAGATAGGGATTGCTTGATGTTTACATTTTTTATATAATACTTGTTTTGGATATATAATACTCTTTTTGAAGATGTCAATTGGGTTGCAGGTGTGTTCCCTTTAGGTATAAAAGTTGTGAAGACGACTCTAGTTCTGAGAAGATTGTTGAAGTGCTTCTGATTAATTCACCTAGTGGGCCAGGTCTTTTGTTTCCAAAGGTATATAATGTTTGAAATGACACTTCTTAAACCTCTTTGAGTATTTTTATGGTTGGTATTAGTTTATGCTATTCATTGATTACTATGATATGGTAAAATTTTCTCTGAAATTGTATGTTGCAAAGGCAATACAGTTCGATCTTTTACTCATTGCATTACTTTTGTGAAATTTCAAAATTGACATTGAATGTTCTTCTCCCTCTTATACTAATAATAATAGTGTTTTAGGATAAAGGGAAAATGTATATTAGTATTCCATCACCAGAATATTGCTTTGTACTTTTAGAAGGGAACTGGTTTTACTAATTCTATGGATTCTTTGTTTCCTATGGGACGAATTGCTCCAAAGAACCAAAGGAAATTTCTCCTATGGTCCTGCTACCTGTGAGTAATTAGCAAAAGAATGCCAATTGCATTGGGTTGTGTTTGTACTATAGCTCTTTTCTTGGAATTGACTGAAGTTGGTGATAATAGATTGTGGGAATCCACTCTAGAAGATGAAGTAAAATAAAAATTAGTTTCGTATCCATAAAGATGACTTAGGTTTGAGAATGAAATCTTGTTTTCTGTAAACCAATATTTTCCCTGTTCACAACTACAAAGACATATCCCTCAAGATAACTGAGATTTATTTCAGAAGCTGACCTCTCTCATATATGCTTTTTCATGGACACCAGCTAGGAATTGAACTGTTGAACAAATGGTGAAAGGACCCAAATATCAGAGAATGAAATCTACGATGAAAAAGATGTTATATATATATATATATATATATATATATATATATATATATATATATATATATATATATATATATATATATATATATATTCTGAAGATGATTTCATTCTAGTAGGTTTCTTAGTGTGGCATTTAGCATGATACCCCTTCACTCCAGTAGGTTGACAGTCACATATGACACTTGCAAACTAGCTGATACCCCTTCACTCTAGTAGGTTGACAGTCACATATGACACTTGCAAACTAGTTAGCTAAATGGTAGATATTAGAGGACAATAGACAAAAATACAACTATAATATAATCATAAACCCATTGCTACTTTACTTATGTCAACCCTCTAAAGCTTGAGCGTCAATGTAGTCAAACCTGTCTTCAAACTTTAGCTTGTTTGTTTAGGTAATAAAATAGCTTCATCATGTATTCAATGCTTTAAGCTCAAATAATTCCGGAACTGCTCATCTCATATACCTAGTGTATTAAGTGTGGGGGCTACATTAACCTATTGACCAGTTTCTGCTCCGATTACATTGTAAAATTAGTTCATTTTTTTTTTTTTTGTCTTCACTTGTGATGAGATGGTAAAATCACTGGATTCTGTTCACAATACTATCCTTGTACAGAACAATTAAATTGATATACATATTAGGTATAGGGACCTTTACTGAACCATGAAAGATTAGCAGCCCATTGAATAAATCAAACCTATTGTAAAATTTTGTTAAGAACCTATTACTGAATCTATTGACCAGACACCTTTATTGAATTGCATATGATTCTTTCAAAAATCATTTTGCACAATCAAGTGCATTTTAAGTGTCTGTTTAAAGTGTTTGCTGCTTCTCATTTATTCTATTTATTGTAACTTAGTCTGTTTGAGATCAGTTGTGCATTGTTTTTTGAATGGACCCTAAGTGGAGATGTCATTTTCTGATTGTTATGATGGTTTTCCATTGAAGGGAGGTTGGGAGAATGATGAAACTGTTGAAGAGGCTGCTGTAAGAGAAGCTATAGAAGAAGCAGGAGTTCGAGGAGATCTAATGGTGAGAAATGTGAATTTATTAACTTTTGAGCTTCTGTACTATCATGATGGATTTAAGAGTCTGAATGTTTTGATGATCTCGTAATGGGAACCTAAGTTTGGTGCATATAATAAAGTCCTATCATCTTCTCTTAGTATTCTTTCTTGCTGTAAATTGGTCACTGTTTGATATTTGCAATGGTGTTTTCTCAACTTTGCTTGGGTCTGAAAGCACAAGAAGACACATTAACACTTAAAATATGGTGAATTTGACCCTAAAATAGGGTGGAATACTATCACTTTTAAAATTTTGTTCCAGCATGTCACAGATGTGAGCAAAAGTCAGTAATATTACATGTTTTTGGAATTATCTATTTGTCTTGGCATGCATTTTGATTCTTTCACTCTTTTACCGCTGTCCCTTGAAAGTTGAAACATACTCTGATTTAGTTATTTTAATTCCCTTGAAAGTTGAAACATACTCTGATTTAGTTATTTTAATTGTAAAAAAGCTTATTAATATTGCTACATTTCCATTTGCTCTTGTTATTTAGATGTATACTTGCAAACCAATGGCTGAAACTTTTGGTTACCTGATGGCAGGATTGTCTTGGGTGCTATGAGTTTAGGAGTAAGACCCACCAAGATGAGTTCAGTCCAGAAGGGTTGTGTAAAGCAGCAATGTTCTCTTTGTTTGTCAAAGAGGAACTTGAACTGTGGCCTGAGCAAAATACCAGAAATAGGAGTTGGTTGACTGTATCGGAGGCACTTGGAAGCCTTCGACATGCGTGGATGATGGACGCTCTGGAATGCTTCTGCAAATGGCACGAGGAAAAGTTTGTGGGTTGAACGAGAGGAATTATTTGATATTAGACTGATATGCTGACAATTATTTTTAGGGGATTGATATTTGACAAAAAAACTATTCTTGGGGTAGTTACTTTAGGAAGTATAACTTTGATCAGAATTGCTTAGTTATTGTTTCAGGTCTGCGGAATGATCCCTGATTCTTTTGATTCAGAGTAGTTCATGACATTCAATTTCCAGCCCAGCTGTTCATTCTTGTTCTTTTAGTTTGTGTACACCTATAATGTTTGGAATACTATATATTGTTGTTGCATATGATTGACTCAGAAAACCCGAGGTAATAAAGGAATATTTCTTCATTCTGACTGCTCCGTCTCCATGCCTGAAATTGAAATGAAGGTATATCAGTTAAATACGTATACAATTTGACAAAATAGCAACAAGCGATATTGTATAATGTGACATCCCTCAAGCTCATCTTCGTCGTCGTCACCAGCATCCTCCAGCGGTTGGTCATCACTCTCTGGAGGTGGCACCTGATCAACATCAGGAGGAGAACCAAGAGTATCCTGACGAGGCCTGCTGGAGGAAGGGGCCTGTGATGAACCCTCAGGTGAATCCTGACGCCTCAGGGATAAAGAAGCGGATGAAGGGGGTGGGATACAAGGTCGAGGGAATATCCTGGGCATGTGATGAAGGAAATACATGCCTCAATGTATGTCTCGATAACGGTGGCCTGACTCCGCTCACGTATCATAGATACATGCTGTTAAACTCGTCCAAGTCGCAATCTATCATTTCTGTTTGCCATAACGTCTGCAAGGTATAACCAATAAAAAACAATTAGATACAAATAAATTAAAAAAATAAAAATAAAAATAACATTTTTTTTATTTCCGGATATATACATGTGGAAAATCCAGAATTCAGAAAGTTAGACTTGTTCCGGAGCTGCATCTTTGGAATTACCCAAACGTTAATTTATTCCGTAGATGTAGCTCCGGAACTTCCTACAACTCCTACAACAACGTTAATGGTGTAACGCCCCGATTTCGATTGTCTCTTTTATCGAGTCCTTACTTAATTTGATTGGACGAATATTATTTTTGATATGGAATTTGTGTGGAAATATGTTAAGTTTACATATTATTCTATTTTAACCGATTTTGAGAGTTTTCGGAGAAAATAGTTTGGAGGGTATTTTGGACATTTCCTATTTAATGATAAGTGGGATATTTTATGGGATATTGAATTAATAGATGTTTTGGAGAAATAATGAGAAGGATATTAAAAGGGAAATAGAAGAGAAAAGAAACATAAGAGAAAAGGAAGGAAAGAAAAGAGGAAGAAGGAAAAGGAGGAGAAAAGAGAAGAAGAAGAAGAAAAGTGTGGGATCATCAAGAACAGCTCAAAGCTTCGATTAATCCAAGGTAAGGGTGTGAAATCTTACTATCTAAATCAATATGTATGATTATGTATGTGTATGGTTGATTGAGTTAGGGTTTTGGAGAGTTTCCTATAATTTCCGTTTTAGGTCGAAATTGATTCGATCGGTAGAAATCTAGCTTTGTTTAATGAAGATGAGAATAAGTGGTAGGATTTGTGTCGGGAAACGTTAGGTTATGATTACTGGAGCAAGTGGAGAATTATCAGGTGAATTTATCGGCTGTTTCAAATTCTGAACAGTGGGGAGAAGTTCTGTTCGCAGACGCTCGCTAGCAGCTCGCTAGGCGAGCAGGTCGCGAGTGTTCGCTAGCATCTTGCTAGGCGAGTGCGTAGCGAACGGTCCCAGACTTGGGACAGAATGGTATTGTGGTCTTTCGCTAGTAGCGAAGGGAGTAGCGAAGAGCTCGCTGGGGGTTCGTTGTGGCGAACGAGGTAGCGAGCAATGTTTGGAGGTTCTGTTTGCACTCGCTAGCAGTTCGCTAGGCGAGGAGGTAGCGAACGTTCGCTAGTAGCTCGCTAGGCGAGCGTGTAGCGAACGTAGCAGAATGAGTTTCTCTCCTGTTGTGTACTGTTGCGGCTTGGGACCCTGATTGCGATCGACCTTCCCTCGATTTAAAAGCGGGTATGCTGGCCCGTGAGGTGCTGTGGGTAGCCGAATGGCGTGAATCCTAGTTTATGGTTTGTGAAGCGTGAGTGTGGCCGATCGGCAATTTTATGCAATCGCTAGATCGAATAGGATTGCATGATGAGATGATCGAGTTCGTTGCCGTCGGCATGATAATATGAATGTATGAGAACATAATAGAATTATGTGGGCATTGAGTAGTGAACGTAGTGTCGGAGTGGATTACACTAGGGTAGAATGATGTGATATCATTCCTAGTTGCGGGCTCATTAGGGTAGGACGACGTGATATCGTTCCTAATGAGGCACAAACAATATTGTAGTGCGTTAGGAGTATTCCGAATGAGGTGTGATTGATGGGTGCACTAGGGTAGAATGATATAACATCATTCCTAGTGGCTGTGTATTAATATTTGATCCCGTGTAGGATCTGCAGAACCTCGCTTGATGCGATGGTTATATTTGATCCCGTGTAGGATCTGCAGAACCTCGCTTGATGCGATGGTTATATTTGATCCCGTGTAGGATCTGCAGAACCTCGCTTGATGCGATGGTTATATTTGATCCCGTGTAGGATCTGTAGAACCTCGCTTGATGCGATGGTTATATTTGATCCCGTGTAGGATCTGCAGAACCTCGCTTGATGCGATGGTTATATTTGATCCCGTGTAGGATCTGCAGAACCTCGCTTGATGCGATGGTTATATTTGATCCCGTGTAGGATCTGCAGAACCTCGCTTGATGCGATGGTTATATTTGATCCCGTGTAGGATCTGCAGAACCTCGCTTGATGCGATGGTTATATTTGATCCCGTGTAGGATCTGCAGAACCTCGCTTGATGCGATGGTTATATTTGATCCCGTGGAGGATTTGATAAGTGATAGGTTCATAGGAGAATCTGGCGGATGAATGAGTCGGTCCCTATGAGTTGCACTATCATCTTTAGATGATGAACGGAGAATAATCTCTAAGAATATAATAGTATATATGTATGTATGGTCTGATAGATGGGAGGATGACGTTGAAGTAAGCGTGGAGGAGTTGTACTCACTAGGGTAGGATGGCAATGTGTCGTTCCTAGTGAAGAAGTTACCGGGGTAGAATGACTGAGATGTTGTTCCCGGTAGGGCATGAGCGATATGCCCATAACCCGGAAAGAGGATTGAGGACATTAGATGAGTATTATACGAATCGCACGACATGGTTGCAGTTGTTATATGTAATATGCATGCGTGCAGAAATTGATGGGACGCGGATAGCGAATAAATGAATGTGTAGGATATTGACTAATGGATGGATGGTTTAGTGTGAGTGTATATGTTTAAGTGTATTGGATGTGGTGAGAATTTATTATTACGCACCGTAGTGAAAAGCTGTAGAATATAGGCATTCGGTACTTGAGTATATATATATATATATATATATATATATATATATATATATATATATATATATATATATATATATATATATATATATATATATATATATATATATATATATATATATATATATATATATATATATATATATATATATATATATTATGCCTTGATTATTATGATAATGTTTCTCACCCTTCTGTTGTTTTATGATGCCCTGCGAGGCATTGCAGATTAGGATTCGCTGGAGGTTTCCTTTGGAGTATAGTTCCTTTCCCTCGTGTCGGTCGCTCTGATATGTAACTTTGGGTAGATAGGCTTGTTGATTGCCTTAATGATGTTTTGTTTATATGTGAATAGAGTTGTGAACAACCAGATGACATGTAATTACGTTTTGTCATGTCTTAAGTGAATACATATATGTTTTAGTCTTCCGCTTTAAGAGAAAACATGAATATGTAATTTCGAAGAATCATGCGTTTATTTTTAGTTGAGATTTACCCCTTTTGAGTTAATTCTTTTTAAACATTAATATTCATGTGGTCGTTTCGTGAGTATTGTGACGCACTTCTTTTATACCTAAATGTAAATATACTCTGATGAAAATAAAAACACTTGTATTCATGACTATATGATTTGATATGTGATTATTTTGGGGTATAGAAAGGGGGGCGTTACAAATGGCGTCCCTTACCCAAGAAAATTGATTTTTTCAACCCCTGATTGTCCGTTTCAGCCAACAAACAATACCTACATTGTCTCTAAACTATGTTTTTAAAACTATCTAACGACTTCTACCCCTAAAACTATATTCTAACTCGTTTACAAGAAATACTCGAAAATACCTTGGAAAATTGAAAACTTACCAATTATATCGAGCTTTAAATGAGTTGGAGTGTCTTGATCATTGAGATGAATACTCCTTATCGAACTTGATTGAAAACAATTAAGTTTGGTGAAAAACGTTTTTTTTTTTTTAGGTTTGAGAGAGTTTGAAGAGTTTGAGAGTGAGAAGTTGAAAAATGAGGGAGGAGAAAGGACTCTGGCACGAATGTATTCTGATTTTCCCCAGAGCTATATAAACGGAAACATTCTGTAGATGTTGCTCCAGAGAAAACTAACGTTAAGTAAAAAAAAGATGCGTCCGGAAGCAGGGAGTATTTTTGGAAGCACACATGGTGCCTAAGAAACCCAAGGGGTGGGGTAAGAAATTCTCTAATAACTATCCAAATTGTTACAAATGAATATGCTAAAGCCAAATTCAGTGCAAAAGTCATGTTACTGATTTGCCCCCACAACCTTCAGCCTCAACTACTACATGGATGATCACCAACAACCATAACCAAACAGACTGCTACGAGAAGGCCTATAATCAGGTATAAGGGTTTGCAACGCTAACAAAACACACCCAATAAAATCATTGGAGATGCTCACTTAACTTTGTGTAGGCCCGAACTTAATACGCTACTCCAACACCTTTTACACTGAGAAATTGAAACACAACATAGTGATACTTTTATCTTTTTCATACATTTTAGATCTTAATCTCTTTCAAATAGATGTAAAAAGCGTGTTTTTGAACAATTCCA